AAAAAAAAAAAAAAAGAAAAATTTCTTAGATGAATTAAATTTAGTAGTGGTCAAATAGAGCTAAACAAAAATCATTGGTGAATCTGGCACCTCCAAGATGCAGAGTTGCAGAGTAGGTTATGAAAAGTCCAACCAGTAGAGTGATTAGATAGTGTTGGAGGAAAATAGCAGTGAGATATAGGTAACAGCTTAACGGCTGCATCCTGATCAATCAACCATTTGGTTGGTGACAGTTTAACTAGGTACTTGATTATAGTGCAGTCAGTTAACCAGCCACAGGGCCTTGTCATTATCCAAAGCTCAGCCTAGGTAACATAGCCAGACCCTGTCTCAAAGTAAAATTTTAAAGAAGGGCTGGTGATATAGCCCCATGGTAGAACACTTACCTATCTTGCCTGATGCTCTGGGTTCCATCCCTCATGCCTTAAAAGCAACAAAACCAAAACATTGTGATAGACACTGAAATAAAGCTACCAGTGTTATTTTAGTATGGCTTTAAAAAATTGAGTACTGCCCATATAGAAAGATGAAGACTGAAGAAACAAATTTTTATCTTTTTTTCTGTTTGCTTAGTCTGTATGATTGATTTTTTTTTTTTTTTAAGTGTGTTTGGTATAGGGTCTACATGATCTCACTATGTAGATCAGACTTATAGTGATTGTCTTGTTTTCAGCTTCCCAAGTGCTGGGATTATAGGTGTGCACCACCACACCCAGTCTCAATCAGCATCTCAATATGCCCTGGGGCGGGGGGAGGGGGGCCTGGTACAGCACATCAGGGATCAAACACTGGCTGCTGTCCTCTGCCTAAGTCAGTCTGTATGAATGTATAAAACCTAGTAATAACTCTTTTCCCCACAAAATTATGATTTTTTATTACTTTTTGTTTTATCTGTATTTCTTTTTTTGTGTGGTACCAGGGATCGAACTTGGGACCTTGCACTTAAGAGGCAGGGGCTTATGCCTCTGAGCTATGTCCCTGGCCCTACTTTTAATTTTAAACCAATGCATGAATTCCGTTGAACTCATTATGTTGTTACTAGGTTATCATATTCATGTTATTTCTAATTTTATAGTTGCCAGGAGACTTAAGCTATGGTTTCTTCTTTTTAATAAAGTGAGGGGTTTCTTTTTCTTTTAAGTCTTTGGAAATGAAAACCTTAGAACTTTTTCTTTTTGTACAGGGTCTCACTACACAGCTCAGACTTGTAGTGATCCTGTTTTCTGCCTCCCCAGAGCTGGGATTACAGGCTTGCCACACCACACCTGGACTGAGTCATCAGCTCAGTGTGCCCAGGGGCAGGGCTGGTGGGGTATGGGGTATTGAATATTGTATCTTGGTCCCCATGCTTGCCTAAGCAGGCACTTAGTCTGCTGAGCTATTTCACAGGCTCTAGAACTTTTCTTTACTGGGCCTAGAGGAAAGTTTATTAGGACTTTTGGTAGAATAGCCTGCTCCCTTATGTCCCTTTCTGCCCTTTGCCTTTTTACTAAAATGTATTTGATTTCTCAGCTGCAGTAGTCTTCAGTTTTGGTGAATTCACAGAAGAATAGTGGAAAATGTATACTGATCATAGTAAAAAGATTTCTGGGGGAAGGAAATAGTTGGATAGAATTGAAGGAATTCAGTGTGTTAGGAGAAACAGCCTGTGAAAAAAGCCCAAGACTTGACTTGATAGAAGCCCTGACTTGATAGAAGTTGGTGGATTGTGAAGATAGAGGGAGATTGAAGTTCTTTTTTTTTTTTTTTTTTTGTATTTAGTACAGGGTCTGCAGGGTCTACAGGGTCTTACTACACAGATTGGACTTGTGATTCTCTTGTGTTCAACTTTCCAAGCGCTGAGATTACAGGCGTGCGCGCGCCACCATGCCCAGTCTCAATTGCCTTCCCAGAGCACCACAGGGGCAGGTTGGAGATAGAACCTCCGACCCTGCATCTGCCTAAGCAGGCACTTTAATGTGCTGAGCTGTCTGGCTAGCCCTTGAAATTCTTTTTTTTTTTTTTTTTTCTTTTTTTAAAAATTATTTATTTATTTACTTATTTGTGTGTGTGTGTGTGTGTGTGTGGCCAGCTCAGCTCACCAGGGGGCGGGGCTGGCTGGCATGTGGTGCTGGGGGATTGAACCGCGGTCCCTGTACTTTGCTTGGCTTAGCTTGTTATGAGTAGGTGCTTTAGACCACTGAGCCATCTCACCAGCCCCTAGCCCTTGAAATTCTTGATGATACTGGATCAGCAAGATTGCTCCTTGGACTAAATGCCTGCTTTGGCAAGCACCAGGACAGGGTTCGATTTCCCTCCTGCATGCTGCACTGACCCTGCCCCCAGGGTGTGCTGAGTCCTTGACCCAAGTCTGGGTGTGGTGGAGCACGCCTGTAATTCCAGCACTGGGGAAGCTGAAAACAGAAGAATCATTACGAGTCTGAGCTGCATAGTGAGACCCTGTATCCAAAAAAAAAAAAAAAAAAATTTAAAAAGAAATTCTTGGTGATACTTAATAGTAAAAGATAAGTTAGGAGAAAGGTAGAAGGAATAGGAAAGCATAGTTATAGAAATTTTAGCTTTAGACCTCTTGGAAGAGCATGTTGTCATATAAATACATTGAAAAACTGAGACCACTGGGGAGACAGCTCAGTAGAATAAGGGCTTGCCTGGCAAACACAAGGTTCTGAGTTCAATCCCCAGCACTGAAAAAACAAAACAAACAAACAAAAAAAAAAACTGAGACCAAGAACCATGAATGTGAAAATCTCCTAGTTATCTCCAAATGAAACATAGCCCATTTTGTATGTATTTTCTGCTATATCTTTGTCTTAGCAGATTTGCCTCAGCCTTTAAATGGTCCTCCTCCTTTATATATCCTGTTTACTTGTCTAACCCTGGTTGTGCAGTTTAGTGTGAATTTTCAAGTTGAAAGGTTTTTAGGGATCATATAGTCAATAGTCTCCCTATATTTAGAGTGGTAAAGAGATTAAATAACTTCTTTGGCTTGCTTATAATCCCAGCATTCTGGGAGATTGAGGTGGGACAATAACAAGTTGTAGCCCAGCTGGACAACTAAAGGCATTGTTTTTTAAAAATTAATTTTATTGATTATCCTCTGCTTCTCTGCTGCACCGACCTCTGTATCCTGCCTGATCCCACTTGTTTGAGGCATATAGATTGGTGTGTCCATTTAATACAAGAAAATGGAAACTGAGCAGCCAGAGGAAACCTTCCCCAACACTGAAACCAATGGTGAAATTTGGTAAATGTCCTGCAGAAGATATGCAAGAGGAGCAAGGATTTAAAAAAATCTAGAAACACCAATGAGATGGTTGAATTATGAATTCTGCTTCAGAGCAAAAATGCTGGGGCAGTGATTAGAAAAGGAAGCAAGAACATTAAGGCTCTCCATACAGACTACAATGGCAGTGTTTCAGTCCCAGATCGTGGTGGCCCTGAGCACATATTAAGTATCAGTGCTGATATTGAAACAACTGGAGAAATTCTGAAGAAAATCATCCCTACCTTGGAAGAGGGCCTGCAGTTGCCACCACCCACTGCAACCAGCCAGCTCCCACTCAAATCTGATGCTGTGGAATGCTTAAATTACCAATATTATAAAGGAAGTGACTTTGACTGTGAGTTAAGACTTAATTCCTCAAAGTCTGGCAGGAGGAATTACTGGGGCCAAAGGTGCTAAAATCAAAGAACTTTGGGAGAACACTCAGACAACAATCAAGTCTTTCCAAGAATGCTGTCCTCATTCCACTAACAAAGTTGTTCTTATTGGAGGAAAGCCTGACAGGGTTGTAGACTGCATAGAGATCATCCTTGATCTTATATCTGAGTCTCCCATCAAAGGACATGCACAGCCTTATGATCCCAATTTCTATGATGAAACTTACAATTATGGTGGTTTTACCATGATATTTGGTGACCATCGTGGATTTCCTATGCAGGGGAGAGGTGGTTTTGACAGAAATCCTTCTTGTGGAGGTGGGCATCCCATGCCTCCTTTTAGAAGAAATTATGATGACATGAGCCCTCATCGGGGACCAGCACCCCCTCTTCCTGGTCAAAGTGGCAAGGGTGGTAGCAGGGCTTGGAATCTTCCTCTTCCACCACCACCACCACCTAGAGGAGGAGATCTAATGGCCTATGATAGAAGAGGAAGACCTGGAGACCACTATGATGGCATGGTTGGTTTCAGTGCTGATGAAACTTGGGACTCTGAGATAGATACATGGAGCCCATCAGAATGGCAGATGGCATATGAACCACAGGGTGGCTCTGTATATGATTATTCCTATGCAGGGGATCATGGCTCATATGGTGATCTTGGTGAACATATTATTATGACATAAGTAACTATTCCCAAAGATTTGGCTGGATCTATTATTGGCAAAGGTGGTCAGTGGATTAAACAAATCTGTCATGAATCAAGAGCTTCTATCAAAATTGATGAGCCTAGGGGCAGTGGAGATTGCTCAGTGGAGTAAGTGCTTCCCTGGCAAGCGCAAGGGCCCGAGTCAACCCCTGGTCCTGCCAAAAAGAAAAAAAAAAAAAAATTGATGAGTCTTAGAAGGATCCAAAGATCAGATCAATACCATTACAGGTACACAGGACCAGATACAGAATGCACAGTATTTGCTGCAGAACAGTGTGAAGCAGTATTCTGGAAAGTTTTTCTAAGACTAGTGAAGAACTGAAGGAGTCCTGCATCTTTTTTTTTTTGTTTGTTTGTTTGTTTTTTAATAATCTGCTTCTGTTTAAAAAGCCAACATTCCTCTGCTTCATAGGTGTTCTACATTTGAAGTGTAGTGAAATCTTTGATGTTCACCAGATGTAATGTTTTAGTTCCTTACAAACAGGGTTGGGGGGAAGATGTGCAGAAACTAACATTGAAATTATAAAACAGCAGCAGAGTAAGTGGATTTTATTTTATTTTTATTTTTTTTTATTTATTTATTTTTATTTATTACATTTATTTATTGTGTGTGTGTGTGTGGCCAGCTCAGCCCACCAGGGGGCGGGTCTGGCTGGCATGTGGTGCTGGGGATCGAACCGCGGTCCCTGTGCTTTGCCAAGCTTGTTTCAAGTAGGTGCTTTAGACCACTGAGCCATCTCTCCAGCCCCGGATTTTATTTTTTGTTCCTTGGTGGTGGTTTAAAAAAATTTCCCCCCATGTAATTATTGTGAACACCTTGCCTTGTGTGGTCACTGTAAGCATTTGGGGGGTAGGACAGGAAGTAAAGCAACAGTAGTCCACATGTCCCTGGCATTTGTTCAGAGCAGTGTGCAGAATATAATGCTCTTTTGTAAGAAACATTTTATGATTTATAAAAATAAATTTAGTGAATCTTTTTTTTTTTTTTTTTTTTTTGCGGAACTTGGGATTGAACTCAGCCTCTTGCGCTTGCCAGGGAAATGCTTATTCTACTGAGCCATCTCCCTGGCCCCTGAATCAAAAAAAAAAAACTTTTATTGATACATGTTAGATACATGTTATGTATCTGATAAAAAGCTTTTATTAGATACATAATGGATCACATTCATCACAGGCAATTTGTACCTGTACATAATATAACCCTTAATTCTTTTTTCCTCAATCCCCTACCTTCTCCTCAACTCTTCTTCCTCTCCTTCTTTATAAAAGCTTTGTTTCCATTTTTTTCTTCCTGTTTTTTTTTTTTCTTTTCCCTTTGCCTTCCTTTCCCATTCCCCTCTCCCCTATTCTCTTTCCCATTTGAACATTTTCTTCCTATTTCCCATTAACTATTGTACATTTTGGTCCTTATTTACTTTTGGAATATTTAAACATGTGAGTGATTAAACATGTGTGTGATTTATTTCACTTAAGGATATGGCATCATAGTGTATCCATTTACCTAGAAATGTCTCAAGTTTAACCTTATTCTTTGTAGCAGAATAATACTCCCTTATAGATACATTTTTTTTTTTAAAGCCCACATTCTTTTTTATCTGTTCATTCATTGAGAGACCATGTGTTAAAAAAAATTTCAAAATGCTGGAATGGAGCTTAATATGAAGGCCCTGGGTTCACTGTTCAGTAGCATAGGGAGAAAATGTTATGCAATTAAAAAATATGCCTTTAAAAATAAATAAAAAGATTGTAGCAAATGCATTACCTAAAAAAGTTAATATATAGTGCTATCTTTGCTGCTGCTGCTTCTTTTTTTTGGGGAGCGGAACTGGGGGATTGAACTCAGGTTCTTGCACTTGCCAGGCAAATGCTTGTTCTACTGAGCTATCTCTCTGACCCCCGTCTTTGTTTCTTTTTTTTTCTTTCTTTTTTTTTTTTTTTTTTTGCAGAACAGGGGGGCGGGGGGGGGGTTTGAATTTAGACCCTTGTGCTTGCCAGGCAAGCGCTTATTCTACTGAGCCACCTCCCCGGCCCCTGTCTTTATTTCTTGAATCAGTTACATTTTACCTTGCTTGTTCCGAAAGTCCAGCAATATGGATTAAAACTGTGTAGTGCTTTGTAGGTAGTAGAATCAGCCTTAGCTGAAGCATCGCTGAATTGGCTGGTCATATTCTTGTTTCTAATCCATGACAGTAGTAATAGCTTTCAACCTCACATTTCCTAGTGGTGTCTTTCCTTCTCTTCTTTGTTTCTTTCCAATTGATTTCATTGCTTTGAAGGAATGACAGCTCCTTTGTAAAAAAAAAAAAAAAAAGTCTGTGATTACCTGGTGACAGTGCTCAGTCCCAAGAAATTAAGTACTTCTCTCTTCTGGCATGGGACATCTCTTCCACCAATTTGAGTATGACCAAAGCAAATGACACTGGTGACATTATCTGTGCTTGTGATAAAAGTAGGACTTTTTCTAAGAAACTTGCATTTTGAGAACGTGACTTTGTTCAAATGTCTTATTACAGGGCTTTTTTTCTTCCACTCAGATTTATTGATACATTTTAGGTATGTATAATGATCCCATTAATCGTAGAGAATTTGTCCTTGTACATGGTATAGCCTTTTTTTTTTTTTTTTTTTTTTTTTTAAGAAAAAGAGGATCTCACTATGTTGTTCAGGGTGGCCTTGAACTCACTGGGTAGCCTAAGCCAATCCTCCTACCTCAGCCTCCTGAATGCTGGAATTACAGACATGTGCCACCACACTTGCCATATACAGTGCATTTTGAAGATTTACTTGGAGTACAAACCAGCAAACCCAATAATTTTGAGTGGTCTCAAGTATTTCTATCCTTGATTAACTTAATCACTCTATGCCTAGTTTAATTCTGAGGGCTAAATAAACTTAGCCTAAGGACTCTATATTTTGATAAAGCTCACCTAAAATTAGAAAACTTCTCAAGTTCCTAAAACTTGGTTTTCCTGCTGTCTTTTTCTTAAATTCAAAGTGGAATTGTTCTTTTCCCCTTCTTCCTTTCTATCCTTCTTTTTACCTAGAGTGAACCCAAATGGATCAGATGACCCTGAAGATGCAGGGTCTAGTGAAAATAGGAGAGTCAATGGGAACAATTCTCCGTCACTGTCAAATGGTGGTTTCAAACCTTCTAGACCTCCAAGACCCTCCCGACCACCTCCACCCACCCCTCGTAGACCAGGTATGTATTCTAGTCCTGAGTTTTGTATTTTTCCAATTGGAAGCTGATCTTCAGGTAAGTGTCAAGAGACCCTTTTAAGTTAGTTTTCTGGTTTAGTTTTTACATTTAAGATTTTGTTCAAGAATGATCTTTCTATATAGATAATCAATAGTGACTTTTCCCTAATTTTTCTTTAGGTCTGAACTTACTAAATGCTCCACTGAGAATGAAAATCATATGTATGCTATATATAGTTCAGATAAGATAGCAGTTCCTTTGTATGGTTTCTGTGTGACATATGCATGTCCTATAATTGAGAATCTGATTTTTTTTTTTTTTGAGACAGTGTTGCTCTG